GTTATGGAATCTCTCCCTCAGATTCCCTAAAACTAGACCAAATCACTGCTCAAAGACTGATCTGCCAAAGACTGGATGACATCGACTTACAGCGAAATTATACGCTGGGGGGAGGTGTTTGTTCGCCCCAGAACATTGGTATCACTTTAACTTACTGCGTTCCATCATACCTCTCCTCCCTTTCGTCTGTTGCCCATAGACTGGCCTTCACCAAAGCGAGGTTTAACGTTTTTCCCTCCAATGTCCTGAGACATAGATTCTCAAAGGGCCAAGCCTCCGCCATGTGCGAATGTGATAAGGAGACGCCGGAGTCGCTCCAGCACATTATGTTCACTTGCCCCTTGTTCAATGTGCCACGGGCAAATTTGTTGGGATCAATCATACAGAAACTAGAGAGTACCCCACCAAAATTCCACCTTGCCCAAATCTTGCAGGATATAAGATATAAAGATCTGTTGGAAAACAAAACCCCTAGATGGGTGTCACCAGTGGAGGCTAAAGCAGTGAAGAAACTCAATATGGAGGTCGGATGGCCGAAGTATTGGGAAATCTTGGAACAGGATGGAGATAAGTGGAAATTACAAAGTTATGAGAAATTGAAACATAAAGTACAAAATTGGCTTCAATATCATCAAATAATGGAGTTGTTCAAACAGGATAGGAAAATTGGCTTTCAGGTGGAAAAATCAAAACTAGAGACTGAACTGTTAGAACCCAATACTAAGAATTTATCAAGAATGTATAACTTGTTGCTGAAATGGAATACACAGGATGAAACAGTCAAATCGGCTATGATTAAGTGGGCACAGGATGTGGGTCATAACATTATGTCAGCTGACTGGGAATGGTTATGGAACACCGGTATTAAATTCACGGCATGTAATGCCTTAAAGGAAAACATTATGAAAATGGTTTATAGGTGGTACATGACCCCAGTCAAGCTGGCAAAAATTTATCATTTGCCCGATAACAAATGTTGGAAATGTAAAGAGACTGAAGGTACCTTCTATCACCTTTGGTGGACATGCCCGAAGATTAAGGCTTTCTGGGAAATGATCTATAATGAAATGAAAAAGGTACTTAAAAGTACTTTCCTTAAAAAACCAGAGGCCTTTCTCTTGGGCATTGTCGGCCAATTGGTGTCAAAGAGGGATAGAACTTTTTTTATGTATGCTACAACAGCAGCAAGAATACTTATCGCAAAGTATTGGAAGACACAAGATCTACCCACTCTGGAAGAATGGCAGATGAAAGTGATGGATTATATGACACTGGCCGAGATGACAGGCAGAATCCGTGACCAAGGAAAAGAGACGGTGGAAGAAGAATGGAGAAAATTTAAAAGTTATCTTAAGGACTATTATAAACTTGATGAATGTTAGAGTGTTATGGTTTTCAGGAACAAAGGGATACAGTGATATAAGGTCAGATTACAGAGATAACTAAGGACAGAGGTTGGAAAGTAACAATTGGGAGTTGCTATAAAACTATGGACATTGGGATGCAGAAAGGGGGGGTATGGGGGAGTCTCAGAAAAGAGGTTTATGAAAAACATTATGAAATTATACGTGTTTGTATGTCTTTTTAAGTGTTTGTTTGTTCTTAAAATTTTGTAAAACTAATAAAAAAATTTTCAAAAAAAAAACAAATCTTGCAGGATAAGGATACCCACACGACCCTGAAAGTGGCTAGGTTCCTGGTCGCTGTCCTTACCCAAAAGCGACGCCAAGGAGCACTTCAAGCTAATTAATGGCGTAGTATGCCATTCCATCTTATAGCACTTTATTGTTATAGTGATGTTTTAGCGGCTGTTTTTTCCCACGTGCACAAGCTGTTATTTATGTGTTGTTTTTACTTGTATGGGCCTATGGCCGTAATAAAATTTTATGTATGTATGTTATGTATGTTTATGTGTGTTTGAGAAAGAGAAAGAATTAATTATTTGGTTTAGCCTTCATTGTGTTTTATTTGTATTTTTATAATGTTTCTAAATTATGAAGATATTTATAGCTTACATATTTTATATTAAGGGGATACTAAGGGACCACCCTTGGTTGTGGTGAAGAAAAGGAAAATATATAAACAATAAATTACTCCATATGTAACAAAATAAGCATTAAAATAAACACTTATGTGTTGCCATGGGGATTTCACTGAGAAGGCAATGATATGGCCTTTATTGCAAAAAAAACCATTTTTGATCCATCTGATTTGAATAATTATTGCCTAATATCCCAGATACAGGTGCTATTGGAGGAAACTGATTTTCTAGATGTGTTTCAATCAGAGTTTAGGCCCGATTTTAGCACAGAAGCTGCTTTGGTTGCCCTGCATAGTGACCTCTTTCAGGAGAGAAACAGATGAAATGGGTGTTTGCTAATACTCCTCAACTCCTGAGCAGCTTTCAGTACCATTGACCACAGTATCCTTCTGGAGTGACTCTCCATTTTAGGGGTGGCACTGCTTTGCGGTGGTTCCCAGAGGGTGTTACTTAGGGAATGCTTTTCAGCCCCATTGAGCCTTCAATGTGGAGTTCCTCAGGGCTCATTCCTATCCCCCATGTTGTTTAACATCTACATGAAACTTCTTGGTGGGGTTATCTGGAGGTTCGGAGTACGTTGTCAGCAGTATGCTGATGACACTCAGCTCTATTTCTCCTTTACATCTGCAAGTGAGGCTGCTGAAGTGCTGAACCAGTGTCTTGCCTTGGTAATGGACAGGATGAGAGCCAACAAAGTGAAGCTTATTCCAAATAAAACTGGGGCACTGTTAGTAGTCCCTAGACCAGATGGATGGAAGCGTGCCTGCTCTTGATGGGGTCACACTCCCTCTGAAGGACTGGCTATGTAGCTTGGGGGCATTTCTGGATCCGTTGTTGCTTGAGGCTCAAGTGGCCTCAGGGGCATGGAATGCCTTCCATCAGCTTTGGCTGGTGGCCCAGCTGTGACCTTATCTGGACAGAGATAGCCTAACTTCTGTCTTCTATGCTCTGGTAACCTCCAGGTTAGATTACTGCAACATATTACATATAATATGTTTCTGAATACAGTTCAGAAACTTCAGCTGGTACAGAATTCAGAACCCAGGTTGCTCACTGGGCAAGACAGAGCATATTACACCAATCCTGGGCTCAGTGCACTGGCCGCCGATTAGTTTCTGGGCCCAATTCAAAGTGCTAGTTTTGTCCTATAAAGCCTTAAATGGCTCAGGACTGCAATACCTCAAGGACCACCTCTCCCCATATGAACCAGTCCGGACCCTGCAATCATCATCTGAGGCTCTTCTTTGTGGGCTTTTTCTGTGGTGGCTCCCTGCTTATGGAATGTTCTCCCTGGGGAGGCTCGCCAGGCACCTTCATTTCATGTCTAGGCGCCAGGCAAAAACATTCCTCTGCTAGGCCTTTGGCTTATTAAACAATTGATGGCTGCCTAAACTGTGTGAAATTACTTTTTTGTTTGTTACTATGATATGTATTTTTGTGTTTTTATTTTGTAAACCTCCCTGTGATCTTCAAATGAAGGGTGTGCTCTTCAGTTGTAAATATGCCTAAAGCCATCTACCGAGTTTATCTTTGAGCGTGAGAGTCAGATGCAAGAATTCAGATCAGAAGGTTCTTGGTTCACAGTTCATTCTCAAAACCACTGAGCTACACCATCTGTGGTGTCTGTGTAACTCAAGGCTCTGCATTATTTTTAAAGTTGGTTGATGATATTTTATATAACTACACATTTAAAGGGCCAGAACTTCATTCTTTGTGCTTAATAACAAAGCAATAAAATACATTACTGTTAATATGAACTGGACTACATAATTTGACAGTAAAGAGCCCTACAATGCTTGGCGGTTGCTGGTTTGGTTTGGTTTGGTTTGGTTTGGTTTTTTTAATAAAAAGAAAACCTTTCCCCTAAATGAGTCTACAGTTTCACTCGAAATGCTAGAGTGTGACAATGGCTAGTTTTATCTTGAAAGTAGTTGGTTTCACTTCCCATGGTCATCACTGGGTTGTTGGGCCATTCCTTGGTGGACAAGCAAAGCATAGTATCTTTCATGTACTGACATGACATATCATCCTATTGCTCCTAAACTTGATTGTGATGCAACAAGGGGAGTGCAACAATGAAACAAGGAGTGCTACCATGAGATAAATATCATTGTATACAGCATTGGGCTCTCAAGCTTGTCATTTCAATTACAAAGCCACCTCACACTTTTAATATGAGAAGCAGCAATCTGGGAATTGCCCTGGGAATAGTATTCACCATTCTCCTGATGATTGCTATCATTGTTATACTCAGAAGAGATTCCCTAACATGGCTGTACAGAAGTCTGGTGAATCTTCCCTCTCTGACAAAACAGACATCACCAGTTGCTTCTGAGGAAAACTCTAGAGAGACAGAAAGGCCTTGCGATGAAAGAATCAGTAGCTCTGCATTGGAAGAGAAAAATGATAGTGGTCATCACACTTCAGCCGAGGTGGAAGGAAGCTTGGAATCCAATGCAAGCAAAACATCCAGGCATGGACTGCTAAATGAAATGATAAGATTGTGAGCCTATGGGCAAGGCCTGTAGTAGTAGTAGTTTTGCCTGTTTTAATATTTCAGCAGTCCCTGAATTATCTAAGGTTGTATATGGAACTATAACTGGGAACTCATTCTGAATTGATTTATGCCTATGCTGCTTAAGTACAGGTCTAGAGCAATCTTTCTCTGCCCTGCTGCCTTTTAACTGAGACCTGTAAATAGAGTGTGTATTTCAGAGCAGAAATTATTTTTGCAGTTTATTTTAATCAATCAATAACAATCTTGTGGGGTGGAAGATGTGAGAATGTGTGCATGATGGGTTTGGGTATGATAACATTGGCTAGAAATGGAACAATGACAGCGACTGCAGCAAGAATGCTTGAAAATGTATAATGATTGTCAGCATTCCAAACTTAGAACGTTGACGTGGCACCTTTTGATAACCTTTTCTATATAATTACTTTATTTTTCTCTTTCTAGATGGATGTCTTGTAGCCTGTTGCCAAATCCTGCCACTGCTGTACATCCAGCAGTACTTCTACATGATCCCATGACTCTTGATATGGATGCGGTCCTGTCAGACTTTGTTCGGTCCACAGGGGCAGAACCGGGTTTGGCAAGAGACTTGCTAGAAGGTAAGCTCAAGACTAATGGATCTCAGGAAATGATTCTTCATCATCACCATCATTTATTAGTGACTTTAATAAATAATAATTCATAAATGTTAGCTTTCCTTACAAAAGTGACCCATTGCAACTTACAAGCACAGTATAGAGACTAAAAGCGATTGTAGCAGACACAAACAAATCAATAGGTTTCCTTCTCTCCATTCTGTGGAAAGATTCTTATTTTATACACTCCTGATCCCATGATGTAGGACTTTCCTTCATCAGGCCAAGATGGAAGTTGGACTTTTATGAAGGATACCTTTTTGGTTTTGATTCTGTTATCTCAGAGATCTCAGGAAGTTTATTGGTTTGTTTTTTCACTTTCTTTGAGAACAATGTGGAGTGCTATGGAATGTGAATAGGTTCCCTGATTTAAAAAAATTATGTACAAGTTTTAGCATTTTGCTGCTCTGCAAGGGCTGAATGGCTGTTCCCGTTCACCGTGTTGGGACTTGCACAAAAGAACTTTAAAGTAAGCTCTGTCCTTGTTTGGTAAGAAGTGGTGGTAGTGTGTAGACAACACTGGATCCCCACTGAGAACATCTTAGATTGGACTCAATATTGGCAGTCCACTTCTGAAAAAGTATAGACTGCTACAGAAACTGTCCATGGCAATTTAGGCAACCAGTTCATGTTTGTGGCAAAGTGGGCTCTCACCCATTAAAGAGGCCCAATACTCTCTGTTGTGTTAGTACAGTGGACTGTTTTGGCTACCCTTCTGGAATATTTGTGGTGCACATGTTTAATGTAACTATTGCTTTTATCACAGACTCTGGTAGATAATTATTTCAGTATAAAACTAGATTATTTTAGCAAATGTGATTAAAATTGATAATTTTGAAAACTTCATCTGAACTTTGTGTGTTTTAGGAATTGAATGTGGCCCTTTAATGACTTCAAGTTTAATCATTCAGGCTTCAGTCCTGTACCTTCTTGCCTGAGAGTAAGCCCCATTGAACTCAGTGGGAGGCCACTTTATGGTCACCTACAGAATGTGATGGGAGGTTGAAATAAAAATGAAAGGAAATGTAAACTGAATATTGCCATTTCTGATGTCAGATTTGTGTCCTAAATTCAAATTCCCAGTGGGGGGAACATTTCAACCTCCCAGAACAGACATAACCTAGAAGTAACTATCCTTGGCATACCAATGTGTCTGACTTATTTGTTTTGTATATTACTACTGTTAGAGTTAGTGGGACGCGGGTGGCGCTGTGGGTAAAACCTCAGTGCCCAGGACTTGCTGATCGTATGGTCGGCGGTTCGAATCCCCGCGGCAGGGTGAGCTCCCATCGTTCGGTCCCAGCTCCTGCCCACCTAGCAGTTCGAAAGCACCCTTAAGTGCAAGTAGATAAATAGGTACCGCTTTATAGTGGGAAGGTAAACGGCGTTTCCGTGTGCTGTGCTGGTGCAGGTTCGCCAGAGCAGCTTCACCACGCTGGCCATGTGACCCGGAAGTGTCCTCGGACGGAGCCGGCTCCCAGCCTCTAGAGTGAGATGAGCGCACAACCCTAGAGTCGGTCACGACTGGCTTTCGGGCAGGGGTACCTTTACCTTTACCTTTACCTTTACTTACTGTTAGAGTTATGTACAGAATACTCCCCACTTACGTGGGGGTTACGTTCTGGGCCTCCATGTACATCAATGAAATGCACGTAAGTGGGGAGCACCCTGGAGAATCCTAGTGGCTTGCAAGGAGACCCTCCCTAGAGGCAATAGAGGATGCAGCGTGTCAGGGCTGGAGTCAGACGCAAGTCAGCAAGCAAGGAGCAGACTTTGTCAGAGAAGTTAACTCTTAATTCAAATAAATGGCATACAACTCTGCAACACTTCCCAGTAACTCTTGCCCCTATAGAGCAATTGCTAGGACTGATGGTCCCTGCTTTCAGCCCCCTCTAAGGCTCTTCCTCTGCTGGATGTTTCCGAAGCAGTCTTAAACTGTGCCTGGGCACCTCTAATCTCTGCTCCGCTCTACACATCACTCTGTGTGACCTTGGAGACAAGGGAGGAGAGGAGCTTGTCACAGTAGGAGAGGCAGGCTCCCTGTATTCTTCTGCAGCCTCTTACCCCATCTCCTTTGCTTCAGCCTCTGAGTCAGAACTGCTCCTTGTCACAGGCTCTCCCTGCTCACTAAATCCTGTTGCTCCCTCAGTATCTAACAACTCCTCCCACTCTTCTCCCTCTGACCTTTCCTCGGTGTCCCACCACCAATCTTTGAGCTCTGAGCCTTTCTCCTCTGGGCTTTCCCTTGGGCTTTCCTCCAGCTGGTTCCTCCCACCACTCCTCATCATCCAGCCAGTCCCTGACACAGAGGGCTTTGTGGAGGCTGCTCAGCCTCCCCACATAGCACAGCAGCAGCAGTCACTTCCCCGTGCGTCAGCTGAGCAGCCAAACAATGCCCCGCTGCGCCTCCAGCTGGCATGGAAACCCTTCCCAGATCCCAAAGAGGACGCCTCTTCCAGCTCTGGGGAAGGTCTCACAAGCCAGGAGGGCTCTCCCGGGTGCTCCCCACTTCTGGGTTCCACTTCCATGTTCCTGGCACTCCAAGTGTGCATTGTCGCAAGTAAGTAGATTATGCACAAATGGAGAATTGCCTGCAATCAGCACTCTTGGTATTTGCCTGCATTTTATTTTCCCCTGATTTAAGAGTTTACAAATCCTCTTCCCAGCATTTGTATATTGACCGGTAACTCATATACCCGTGGCAGAGTAATTGTGGTATTGGCACTTTGAGTCTGGTTATAATTTCTTGGGTTTTGTGAGGAAAGTCACATTCTAACAAACTTAGTGAAGAAATCACTGTGATATTGCAGCATTTTTTTTAAAAAAAATAAAACATTAATTTTAAATGGCAAAAAGAGCACATTTGTCTAAATCAGCGAATGATACATTTGTTCTTTTTTGCGCTAAGCCATCTGTATCAGAACTATATCGCCACCTGCTACTTGGAATAATTATCACCCACCTCCAGCTTAATATATTGCTTAATTGAGGTAGGTTCAATTTGCCACAAGGGAGCCTGAATGACCACAGTCTGGTGAACTGACTCAGCATTAGTTAATACCTAGGTAATCCATCTTTGTATACCCCCAATGAGCACACACTTGATAGGCGCAGGCACAGTTTTCCACCTACAGGTAATGGTACATATTACCATACTTTTGCGTGTATAAAACTAGGGGGGTTACTAAAAAATAATGTTAAAAAGGGGGGTAGTCTTATACATGGGGGCAATCTCCCCCATTTTCTTAATGTTGAGTCCCAAAAATTAGGGGGTGTCTTATACACGGGGGGGGGGTGTTATACACGGAAAAATATGGTACATCATGCCCAACATTATTCTGCTAGCTATTCAGGTGATACAGAAATCTTCTCCTTCTTAAGAAATGAATGTTAAAAATTGGCTAGAATTTGAACATTTTAAAGAAATTTGAGGAATTAAATATTTGCTAATAATCAGAATGTACACATTTCTAACATCTTAATGTGAAATGTTCCTTTTTGAATTGTCAGGAAACCTGTAGTTGGACATATATGTCAAAATTTCTACCTCCCTCAACCTACAGAAGTGGTTCATCTGTTTGATTGTTCACAACCATAGTTTGTGAATTGTATCTTCATTTACAAGTCATTAACTAATGCTCTTTTCTTATCCCATATTGTCAACACAACACTGGCTTTCTGCCAGTCAATATCAATGAGAACTAAAAAGTGTGTCACCTTTCCAACAGAGTAATATTTCATGTTCTTTTTCTGGTCAAGATAAATTGAAAATGTGGCCCTCCTGGTTAGTTTCGTAACCTGCCATCTGAAGAATTTGGGAATAGAATTTCCATTGTATTTGTCTAATTTGGGATGAAAATAAATTTAAATAATTGAAATGAATCTAAATATATTAAGTGATTAATCAAAACATGTATGTAAAAGTGTTGTGACGTGGCGTTTGTGATTTCAGCTCTCTTGACATAATATGCTGGAGACAGTTTTCTAGTAACACTTCTTTATTAAAGCAAACAAGACTGAAGTCTGAGGAGGGGAAAGCTACATTTATAGGGACAGGAAACTAGCTAGAAAGGATACATTTTGGAGGGAACAATGTCAGGCAATCACAGTCCTGCCTTTTGGAGGAACCCAATAAGACAGAGGATCCAAATACAGCAGCTTAAATGAACCAATAGTAGCTGTACCCTCTGGAACCAAAAGACAGTTAGTTTACCCTAATGCAAATACAGACAATAATAATAATACAGATATAAAATCCTTTGACTCAATACACAACAAAAAGTGTGCTTCAAAATTATCAGATATGTGCAAAACATTTCTTCTTTTATTTTTTGCTTTTTAAGATGAAAATGTTCATTATAAAACCCAGAGCTCAGGCCATGTTATACACAAATATGTTCTGCATTTACTGTTCTCATCTCTTTATTTATTTTTTTAATTAAGCCAGTTAACATTTTAGGCAAAAGTTTCTGAGTCATTAAAAAAAATTGAGCTAGAATAGGTGGTACAGAACGTTATACTTCTATTTTTTCCCTCTTATTCCTTTTGACTGTCAACAATAACATATGTTGTATTTGAAACTGCATGTTCATTCCATTAAAACACCCTGCAAAGTAATTTGGGAATAAATGTGCCATTAAAAATAAATAAATCCTGAGCTAATACATACTGAATAGTAGGACTGACTTCTGCCATAACTGAACAGGTTTTACAATATCAAATAATGTTAAATTCTAACCAAACAGAGCCAGATTGAAATAATAAAAGAAAGATGGTTCCTCTTTTCATCATAAAATGCAGAGGTGACTTATTATTACAAGGCCCGTCAGTCTCACATTTCATTCTTACAAGTCTTACACAGAGAATATTCTCTTGCTGGTGCCAAGAAAAGTCCTATGCAGTCCGTAGTGTATGTGCTTTCCCTGAGGTGTTTCTTTAAAAATAAAAATCTGGAGTGGCTATTAATATCTCGCGTTAAGATAATTCTAGAATGAAATGAAAGTAACATTTAAATAATAGGGGGGAACAACCTGATTGCCTGACGTCAGCCAGCTTTTTAAACATTGCCATTTAAAATAAATGTCAGCACCTAAACTAGTGTAAAGGATTGTCTCATTGTCAGCCTGTTTTTGAAGATGCTGTTCTCAAGAGTCTGGTGATTTCTGACTGTGCTTTGGAAGACGGTTAAGTGCTTTCATCCTTCTGGTGTAAATGATGCCCTAATTCAATAGAGGAAAATGAGAGGCATTATGCTTTGATGAAAACGAATAATCATTGTATGGTTTGAGAGCCAAGGATTACTCATATGTCCTTTACTCTGACTGCTTTTTTGGCAGAGGTAGCTTATCCCATGCAACTCTTTGCATCAGCGTCCTGTTCAACTAAATAACAATGCTACTTGAGTTCTTTCCTTAGGAATAACAAAGCTTTTGCTGTGATAAAAAATAAAGTGTTGTTATTGTTACATGTTAAATAATTATATAAATGCCATTTTTCCCTACAACAAAAAAGTCTCTCAAGGTAGTTGGCTGAGGCTCCAGTGTATTTTCAAACCTACCATATTTTTCGCTCTATAAGACGCACTTTTTCCCTCCTAAAAAGTATGGGGAAATGTGTGTGCATCTTATGGAGCGAATGCAGGCTGCGTGGCTAAGCCAGAAGCTAGAACAGCGAGAGGGAGCACTGCGCAGCGCTCCCTCTTGCTGTTCTAGCTTCTGGCTTAGCCCCTCTGTCCCTTCCCCCACCTCCCGGAAAAGCCCCCAAGAGCCACGCTCCCTTTAAAGAGCTGCGCGGAGCGTGTGTGCGGCTCTTGGGGGCTTTTCCCTTGGGGCTGCCCTTCTCCCGCCTCGGGGAAAAGCCTGCAAGCGCCACACACACGCTCCATGCGGCTCGTGAAAGGGAGCCCTGAGCAGAGCCTGGGATGCAGACAGGCTCTGCTCAGCGCTCCCTTTAAAGAATATTTTTTTCCTTGCATTCTTGCAAAGTTCCATTCTCATTGTTAAAGGAATTGATGATTTTTAAATAACCTTTTGAAAAGTCACACATTTTCTGTTAAGCAGTTTTGTAGTGCCATTTCCTAACAATCTGTACTCTAGAAATGCTTTGCAGAGATATAAACTTGCTTTAGCGGTGTGCAGCCTTAATGGCACTCCTACCTGTGGTCGGCTTCTGATATTTCTATGTGACTGCTGATACACAGCAAAAGCAAACTCTTGAATGTTTCAACAGGAAATGTGGTAGGAAGTGGGGTAACACATTAATAGATGTATAAAAATGAGCATGAAAAACCTCAAATGTTTTCTGTCTCCTATCTCCATGATAACAGAATCACAAATATGGGAGTGGTTAAGTATAACTCCCCACTGCCACACAGAGAGTTCTGATTGCTAGGAATAAAAAGGTTTAGGAGGTCCCCCTCCTTCATTATAGTTAGTCTGAGAATTCTTCTTCCTTATTCCAGGAGAAAAAGTGTGATGGTGAGTTTTTCACCTTCTAAAATGCTGCCATGGAGACAAAGAGGGTTTCCCTCGCCTTTGCGATCAGATATAAACAGTTTCCTTCAGGGAATTTATGTCACAGGCTGCTATGCTTGTTTTTAGCTATGTCACAGAAATCCAAAATTAGATTATTTTGCAGCACAAAAGAACATGAATGTGCAAGGCGTTAATGATCATGGCTCATCAGAAACTGCCACAATACTCATGGGTGATTGTTCAAGCTAACAACCCTGCCACGTGGTGTTAAAAATTATATGTACAAAATATACATCTAGTGAAACCATATTTAGTACAGATCCCATTGAAGTGAGGCAGTCTTGTACATTACTGAGAACTGCACAGCCTCTGCAAAATAGCAAACTCCACCTTAATAAAAGGAGCATCCTGTTGTCTGCTGGAATGTTGTTTGAAGTGCCCTTTAAATTAGTTTCCATAAAAGTCCATTGTTGTTCTTCGAACCAGTTTGTCAAGGTAGATATTAAGATAGCATTTATTTGTTTTTAAAGAAATGATCTGCAACAATAAATATAATTTAATGAAGTTTTGGTTCCTTATTGCATGTATTAATAACCACCATCTTTTTTAAACAAATCCCCTGCTGCAGTTTCAGTTATCTTCTTTGTGCTTATTTGCAACTAAGTATGGGCAACGATTAGACCACAGCGCCATCCGTGATGGGGATTTGTGGATGGCGCTGGGAGCTCACCCCATGATGGGGGTGAGCTCCCGTTGCTCGGCCCCAGCTCCTGCCAACCTAGCAGTTTGAAAGCACGCAGTGCAAATAAATAAATAGGTTCCGCTCTGACGGGAAGGTAGATGTCGTTTCCATGCGCTGCTCTGGTTTGCTGGTTTGCTAGTCATGCTGGCCACATGACCCGGAAGCTGTACGCAGGCTCCCTTGGCCAGTAAAGCAAGATGAGCGCCGCAACCCCAGAGTCATTCGCGACTGGAGCTAATGGTCAGGGGTCCCTTTACCTTTACCTTTTATGTCCAACTATTAATTTAACTGACAGATAATTTGCTAGTACTGCACTAAGTATTTATTGTAAATATTACTTACTGTACCTCTTGTAAATGTTTTCTCCTTAGGGCATTCACTATGTAGCAGTGATTCTTATCAAAATGTGTTCTAGGACTTCTAGGTGAATGATGGGCAACCTCAGAAAAAAACATATTACCCATTGCTACCATTTCCCCCCTGTGGTGTGCAACTATAGAAAAGTGTTGAGTCTTTTCTGGGTCACATTATCCGCTTAACCAGAGCAATAGCAAGGCCCATCATACTCATCTGGGGCTGTTGCAAATTATGTGTTCACCTTAGAAATTGCCCTAGAATCCTCTTATAAGACACCAGGGAGTGACCTTGACAAGATGATGGGGAAGGGGTTCTTGGAAGGTAAAATGTTTAAAAACCATGGGTGTACAACATAAGCATGGCACTTTGCTCTTTGCCATATTAAAACACTATTATTATTAAAACATAACATTATTTTCATGACTACAGAAGTAACCAGAAATAACTTGAAAATTCATAGCTACCCGAAAAGCTGAAATCTGCTTAATGGTGTGCAAAACATGCTCATCATAATTTGGAATGTGCTGAGTCTTCTAAGTATTTTTTAGAGAAGTCTTATAAAAAGCTTAGACTTCTGACAAGAATTCTCCAAAGCCCGAGAAGATACAGCCAGAGCCAGAACCACAAAGCTGGTAATGGTAGAGATGCTATAGTTTGTCAGCTTTCCTTCTCTCTCCCCCCTACCCCTCCTTCCCAAATGTATCATTTTAAAACATTTAGGAGAGATAAAGTGCTTTGATTTCTCTCATACTCTTCTTTCTTTAAATAACTTGTTACTGGTGTCACCAAATCTCAGTTCCTGCACCTCTTAGGTGGTCTCCATTGCCATTATAAGAGAATAAGGGAGGCGTTCATTGTGAGTTCCAACCCCTCTTTTTCAAGAAAAACAGCACTGGTAACAGCTATGTTAATTCTGGTCTCACTAAATTTAGATTTTCTGTAGATGACATCTTTAAAGGCAGGGCTTTCATATTCACTTGATACTCCAATTCAAAAGAGGTTTTCAGTAGGATGAAAAAAGATGAAGCTCCACAAGCAGACACTGTCTTTGGTGTGCAGGCAGAACATGGCACCAGTCACTCTTCCATGCATGTTGAAGTTGTTAACAATGCTCTTATGATGTCTCATTCTTAGGCAAAAATTGGGATTTGACTGCCGCCCTGAGTGACTATGAGCAGCTTAGGCAGGTTCATACAGCTAATCTGCCACAAGCGTTCAACGAAGGGAAGTATCCTAAGCCACAGCAGGAAACGGATCCTTCCCAACAGGTGAACAAGAGTGAACGACCATCACTTCAAAGACAGGATGACATTGCTCAAGGTAAAGTGCTTCTAGCTCAGACTTTGATTGGCAAGCTGCTGTTGTAGGTTTTCTGTTAACCTAACACAGGTAAAAGTACTACTGAGATGCCAAAAAATAAAACCGGTAGGCCCACTCCAAAACTATCCTGCCCTTGATATACCTTCATAGATTCAGCGTTGGCAACATACAAGTTTGTCAAAACTATGGATGTTTGGTTTTCATATTGTAAGATAGGACTCTCTTTTTCTCCATCACCAAAGAGTTTCAGATTTCTGCCAAAGAGAGGGTGGGCATAAAAACTCAGAACAAATTATTATGCAAGCTAGCGATTACAAAAGACATTTACTAGCTCCTGATGCCATTTACTGGGGTATTAATAGTAACAACTTGTATTGCTATGAGCCTAATTGGTTTATATAAGTAGAATCCTGACTTTTTTTTCTATCAACAAAAAAGCAGCAGTAGTGGTCTTTACCAATAGTACTAGTAATAATTATTTATATAGTTATATTATTAAATACCTGTTGGTGTTCAGGGTATTTTATAAAAAATAGTGAAATTCAACTCGGCTGGTATGTGTAAAATCTACTCAAAGCCACTTTTTTTAATTGGGGAAGAAAAGAAAGAGGGATTCTTTAAAAGCTGAAGTGAAGAATTCACATGCTTTTGTAAAGATAAAAAAATGAGAAGTGGAAACCGAGTGTCACAGTGAGAAGCCCACCATAGCAAAGGGTTAATTCACTACCTTAATATACAGTTGTACCTCGGGTTAAGTACTTAATTCATTCCGGAGGTCCGTTCTTAACCTGAAACTGTTCTTAACCTGAAGCACCACTTTAGCTAATGGTGCCTCCTGCTGCTGCCGCGCCGCCAGAGCACGATTTCTGTTCTCATCCTGAAGCAAAGTTCTTAACGCAATATAATATTTCTGGGTTAGCGGAGTCTGTAACCTGAAGCGTATGTAACCTGAAGTGCCTGTAACCCGAGGTACCACTGTACACTGCTAGGATTCCCAAACAGCAGGCAAGGTCTGAGTGATCCAATGCTTTGGATGCCATTAGTTCAGCTGCTGGGATGTTAGAGAGGAGCTTTAGAGCAGGGATGGGGGACCTTTGACTCTCCAGATGTTGGACTCTAGCTCTGCTCATATTGGGAGATGGAGCCCAACAACAGCTGGAGGGGGTGCAGGTTTCCCATCCTTGCCTTAGACCATGCAGCTATGGAGTCAGAGGCAACTGAGAATTCCTAGACCCACAGGCAACTTTGCACTAAATAAAATGGCACTAGACGGTGTTTATGCCATGGGCTTTCAGATCCTTGTGAATAAAAATCGGTTGAGCAGGCTCAGAGCTTTTCACTAGAAAAGGTCAGACAGCACTTGCTGTGGATAAGATGCGATGTACAGTATTTTCTGATAGCCATGTATGTGCAGATGTCATCCGAGTCCACAGCACCAGGCAAAAAAACAGAACCTGCCTTCAAATTTGAGCACAATTGTTACTTCTACTCAACTATTTGCAGATTAAAGCCAGCTTTGGTCTATTTGATGTTGTGCTGGGGTGCCAGAGAGTGACTTTGTGATGAATTTTATTTGATCTGTTAGGAAAGTTGAAAGTGAATTACTGAATAATTATTTAATATATTTCATGATCAGCTAGTACCTATTTCTTCCAGAAAATCATGATAATTCTGAAGCCAGATTTTGCAGAAGCAGACTTCTTTCACTATCTTATATAAAAACAGGATCCTAACTAACTAGTGACATTTCAAGATAGGGATTAAGGGAGCAGCTTCTCAGGATTTCCAGTTTGGCTTACTGGGAGGTGGGGGACTTCAGTACTTGCGTACTGATTTTCCACTGCAATTTATTCCAGACTGGAGCTGTGACATATGCAATATACTCTCAGGGAACACAAAGAAAGTGATGATTCATCATAAACCTGGGACTAGGTTACAGGAGAGACTGCATTCTCCCGTTCAGACCTGCTTGGTTGCCGATGTAATCTGAGGAGGTCTTCTTAGTGCTGCTGCAAGCCCTTGAAATTTGTATTTGTATTGTGACCACCCAGAGCATGGCCTTTAAACCTGCAATGTAGAATGCTCTACCCCTTGAAATAAGGCATTCACTGATATTCCAGTTTCTTTCCATTTCACACAAACCTATAACTGTTGATGATGTATTTTGTGATATCTTACTGGTCACTATGAAGTTTTAGCTGTATTTTATGCTGATTTATTTTGGTTGTGGGCATTGTATACATGCCTACATGTTAGAGTATACATTGTATACTCTAACATTGTATAGTCCTTTTAATAAAACAGTCCTTTTAATAAACCTACAATCAAAGGTCACGGGGTTCTATTTCATCTTGCCTTGAGAGCAAGAATATAGCACAGATGAGAGAAGAGATCGTTGTTTCCATCAGGGTAAAAGTACTTTGGGAGTACAATCTTAAAGGCACTTGCTAGGGAGTAAGCCCCATCAAGCTCATTTACTTCTGAGTAAAAACATTTAGAATTGCTTTGGTTGTCTCATTCCCCCCCCCTTTCTTTTGTTCCTGCACAGAAAAGAGGCTGTCTAGAGGAATTTCTCATGCCAGCTCAGCCATAGTCTCCCTTGCACGGTCCCATGTGGCCAGTGAATGCAACAATGAACATTTCCCTTTGGAGATGCCCATCTACACATTCCAGCTCCCTGACCTTAGTGTTTACAGTGAAGACTTTAGAAGCTTCATTGAGCGGGACTTGATTGAGCAAGCAACCATGGCCGCTCTGGAACAAGCTGGTGAGTAAATACTTAACACAAGAGAGTCTGGCTTGTTTGACCTTCTTGTTGGTGTACCACTCTTTTAAGCCCATATTATTTTTGGAGCTGATTGCTTACATCTTAGATACATACACAATACTGTAGAGTTGGTGAAAGTAGAAAACAAAGACAACTAAAATGGTGAAGGGGCTAGATCACCTTGGCTACATGTAAAGGGTATAGAGATTGATATTATTATTTTTTTGACAAGAGAGTAATACAGACAAGGAATGTGAGAAAGGAATGTCAATGTATGAAGACAGTGGGGAGATAGAATCATAGAATCATAGAATCATAGAGTTGGAAGAGACCACAAGGGCCATCGAGTCCAACCCCCTGCCAAGCAGGAAACACCATCAGAGCACTCCTGACATATGGTTGTCAAGCCTCTGCTTAAAGACCTCCAAAGAAGGAGACTCCACCACACTCCTTGGCAGCAAATTCCACTGTCGAACAGCTCTTACTGTCAGGAAGTTCTACCTAATGTTTAGGTGGAATCTTCTTTCTTGTAGTCTGGATCCATTGCTCCGTGTCCGCTTCTCTGGAGCAGCAGAAAACAACCTTTCTCCCTCCTCTATATGACATCCTTTTATATATTTGAAAATGGCTATCATATCACCCCTTAACCTCCTCTTCTCCAGGCTAAACATGCCCAGCTCCCTTAGCCGTTCCTCATAAGGCATCGTTTCCAGGCCTTTGACCATTTTGGTTGCCCTCCTCTGGACACGTTCCAGTTTGTCAGTGTCCTTCTTGAACTGTGGTGCCCAGAACTGGACACAGTACTCCAGGTGAGGTCTGACCAGAGCAGAATACAGTGGCACTATTACTTCCCTTGATCTAGATGCTATACTCCTATTGATGCAGCCAATTGCATTGGCTTTTTTAGCTGCCGCGTCACACTGTTGGCTCATGTCAAGTTTGTGGTCAACCAAGACTCCTAGATCCTTTTCACATGTACTGCTCTCAAGCCAGGTGTCCCCCATCTTGTATTTGTGCCTCTCATTTTTTTTGCCCAAGTGCAATACTTTACATTTCTCCCTGTTAAAGTTCATCTTGTTTGTTTTGGCCCAGTTCTCTAATCTGTCAAGGTCGTTTTGAAGTGTGATCCTGTCCTCTGGGGTGTTAGCCACCCCTCCCAGTTTGGTGTCATCTGCAAATTTGATCAGGATGCCCTTGAGTCCATCATCCAAGTCGTTGATAAAGATGTTGAATAAGACCGGGCCCAAGACAGAACCCTGTGGCACCCCACTAGTCACTCTTCTCCAGGATGAAGAGGAACCATTGATGAGCACCCTTTGGGTTCGGTCAGTCAGCCAGTTACAAATCCACTGAGTGGTAGCATAGTCAAGACCGCATTTTACCAGCTTCTTTACAAGAATATCATGGGGCACCGTGTCGAATGCCTTGCTGAAATCAAGGTAGGCTACATCCACTGCGTTCCCTTCATCTACCAGGCTTGTAATTCTGTCAAAAAACGAGATCAGGTTAGTCTGACATGACTTATTTTTCAGAAATCCATGCTGACTATTGGTGATCACAGCATTCCTTTCTAGGTGCTCAAAGACTGTTTGCTTAATGATCTGCTCCAGAATCTTCCCTGGTATTTTGCATGGCATAATGGGATATGTAGTTTGCATGAACGACACAGCTCTGAATGTTATTGTGCATATGTAGGACCATCAAGGCCACTCTCTACCGTTCTGAAGAGTCATCTGGGGCAAGTGGGGGTTGTAAAGGATTCAACCTGAATCCAAACCCAGGTCAGCGTTTTTCCTGTTGAATTCAGGTGTTATTCTGAACCCTAGGGCCAAACTCACCCTAAAAGGTAGTAAGCTGCCTCCACTCCTGTTTCTGTCCAGTCAGCCTGAGCCTAGAGATAATCGGGTTGTACACCGGACATCCCCAAGATTCCAAGGAGTAAGAGCTTCGTTGAGTATTTGTTGTCATCAGTGCCGGATTTACGTATAAGCTAAACAAGCTATAGCTTAGGGCCCCACTCTCTTGGGGACCCCCCAAAAAAAATTAAAGGGAAAAAAGCTGGAAGTACATTTCCAATTGTATTTCAGTTCAACCATTACTTTGATAAAATACATATTTTGTTATGTGCAAATGGCTTTAGATACCTATTAGGTCCATAAATGACCATATAGCATATAGGTAAAGGTAAAGGTACCCCTGCCCATACGGGCCAGTCTTGACAGACTCTAGGGTTGTGCGCTCATCTCACTCTAGAGGCCGGGAGCCAGCGCTGTTCGCAGACACTTCCGGGTCACGTGGCCAGTGTGACATTGCTGCTCTGGCGAGCCTGCACCAGAGCAGCACACGAAACGCCGTTTACCTTCCCACTATAAAGCGGTACCTATTTATCTACTTGCACTTAAGGGTGCTTTCGAACTGCTAGGTGGGCAGGAGCTGGGACCGAAAGACGGGAGCTCACCCCGCCGCGGGGATTCGAACCGCCGACCATACGATCGGCAAGTCCTAGGCACTGTGGTTTTACCCACGGCGCCACCCGCATATAGCATATATTCAACACAAAAAACAGCGTCAGTTTGTTGTTGACAAAGGACAGCTGGACATATAAAGGGCCCCATTACCTTCAGTAGCTTAGGACCTCATCAAACCTAAATCCTCCCTGGTTGTCATGTTTATGCTTTTAAAATTGGGAAGATTTGCTATAATGTAAGTGCCACCATTTACAACTTTGAAACCATTTTTGGTAAGTCAAAGAAGGAATCGACATGGCTGGTATGACCTCTTTGGAAAACTATTTCTTAAAACAAGAGAATTGTGCTTTATATTGACTCCAAAATGTAACAGGCAGCCCACCTTAGATCTGTTTTCTTACCTATTACCTTATTCACTATAAAACTCATATCAAGAAATGTATAGATTTTAAATGGATTGTATACGTCTCCTTTATGCAGCACCCTTGATTTTTCTTACCACACCTACATTATTGTCAAAATCTTCTGCATGGTGCAGGTGATAGTCTGTTATTTCACCATGCCTGCAAGAAAGGAGCTGCTAAAAATGAGGATATGTTACTTCCAATTTTATCACTCCCAAAGGCAGCCCAACCCACTTTAAATTATGCTTCCCAAGTGCACTCTTGATTTAGATTTCATAAGAATGCTTAGGCGTGTGAAGTGTGTGCCAGCTGCTGCTTGTTGAATACATGTGGCGATTACCAAGTGTTTTAATAACACAACCTATTAATATAGCTACAGTTTATATGCTTTTTTGGATATAGGGAAAATAGACTTCCAGTAGGATCTGAAATTCTCCTGGGTTTAAGTATAGCCACACATTTTCATGGTATAGGGTTGCTTTAGCCTAATTTCAGTTTAATATGACCACAACCATTGATTTCAGTTGAAAAGATTAAGCTATTTGTTTTTAATATCAATAGAACTCCAATGTGCTTAATGTTGGCAGTGTCCTTACATTTTAAATTAATTTTCATTTTTCAGGTCGTCTTAACTGGTGGTCCACAGTGTGTACAAGCTGTAAACGCCTTCTCCCACTGGCAACCACAGGGGATGGCAACTGCCTCTTGCATGCGGCTTCCCTAGGTAGGTCTTCTGGTAAATAATGCATTCTGAAAGAATAGGACAACTCTCTATCTTGCTTACAATGCTTAGATTCAATCTTTCTCCTTCAGAAGGATTGAAAGAACCTCACTTGAACAAGATGTGGACCCCATGGTGTACAAACACAATGTTGGGGGGTCTCCTCTTATCCATGTTAGCAAATGATACCATGATTATAGTGACTATTTGGACTAGGTTCTGTGATATCTGAGTACTCATCTCTGGTTGTCCATAGACTTGCTGAAAGCAACACCGGACCTCTCAGCTTCAGTTTTCTGTTTCACAGAGCAGTTGTAAGGATCAGTGAGATAAGGACACATTAGTTTTCTTTAAATTTGAAGATAGAACTGGGCTACGTTGAAATAAAAAGGTGTTCCTCTACACACACACACACACACACACGAGTTACACTGGATATGTCACTGGTCAGTACAATTTTATGGATGAGAGATGCTACACCACTTTGCTGGCACTGATGAAGGTACAGTAGCAAATTGATTTTTTAACCTGTGGGGCCAGCATTTGATAGTCATAAAGTTACCTGATGCGGACAAATATTTCATTTGTTTTAATAAGATTATGTCAAGAACAAAATTGCAGGCAGAGGCCTGAATCTTCTAAAATATTTATCATAGAATTTCATAGTAGGAAAGGACACCAGTGGTCATCTAGTCCATCCTCTTGGACTAGAATCAAAGCTAAAGAATCCCTGACAGATGACCATCCAACCCTCACTGAAACACCCAACAAAGGAGAGTGGAGTCTGTTCCACTCTTAAACAGGTGCTAAAGTCAGAAAGTTCTTCCAAATGTTTAGTAGGAATCACATTTCTTGTCCATTCTTAAACCGAGGTGCACTTTCCCTAATGAGGCCTCCCACCGCCGGTGACCTTCCACCATTCAGATTCCATTCTTAGACCGAGGTAAAGTTCTCAAACCAGAACACTACTTCTGGTTTTGCGGAGTTCGTAAACCGAATCGTTCATAAACAGGGCTGTTATTAAACCGAGGTACCACTGTAATTTGAATCCATTAGTTTGCGTACTATCCGCTTGCTCTGTCTTCCATGTGTCAGCCCTTCAGTTATTTGAAGATGGCTGTCACATCACCTCTCAGTCTTCTCTTCTCCAGGCTGCTCCTAAGGCAGACCCTTTATCATCATGGTCACCCTATTCTGCACCTGTTCCTGCTTGTCAGTACAGTGGTGCCTCGCAAGACGAAATTAATCCGTTCCGCGAGTCTCTTCGTCTTGCGGTTTTTTCGCCTTGCGAAGCACGGCTATTAGCGGCTTAGCGGCTATTAGCGGCTTAGTGGCTATTAACGGCTTAGCAGCTTAGAGGCTATTAACAGCTTAGCGGCTTTAAGAAAAAGGAAACAAACTCACAAGAACTCACAAGACGTTTCGTCTTGCGAAGCAAGCCCATAGGGAAATTCGTCTTGCGGGATGACTCAAAAAACGGAAAACTCTTTCGTCTTGCGCGTTTTTCGTCTTGCGAGGCATTCGTCTTGCGAGGTATCACTGTACAGTGGTACCTCGGGTTACAGACACTTCAGGTTACAGTCTCCGCTAACCCAGATATAGTACTAGATATAAGATATAGTACCCAGATATAAGAACTTTGCTTCAGGATAGGAACAGAAATTGTGCGGCAGCGGTGGGAGACCCCATTTGCTAAAGTGTACCTCAGGTTAAGAACAGTTTCAGGTTAAGAACAGACCTCCAGAATGAATTAAGTTCTTAACCAGAGGTACCACTGTATCCACCTTATATTCAACTTATAATTCAAATGGACTTCATGTCTGTTTTCTCTCATTGCTTGTTTTGCTATTAGTGTAAAATGTAGCCCTATGATCATTAACAACAGAAAAAGGGAAAGCATCAATATAAAAACAAGAAAGTAGATTTCAAGTTGCAGAAGAAACACGTTTGTCACACCAACTGCATTCTTAATGAAGATGCTGTTTGTCATGTCCTCTCCCCCCCCCCGCCCCCAGTGCCTCTGGAAACTTCTACTGCCAGAAATGCTGGTAACATGGAGGGAGCTCCCAGCACATACCCCTGGATCACAACATGTAGGATGACACCACAGTACCTCAAAGACTGCCCCACCGCCAGGCCTGAGGCATCCTTACCGCCAGGCCTTTCAGTCCCCCTTATGCTCCTTCCATCCATTGTTTTGGAGCACACAACATGCACAGGGGAGGAAGGGGAAGGCACATGGCATGAAGTACCCACAGCCCCCCCTAAGACAAGCGTTCAAGACTTTAACCCAGGCAGCCATGGTGAAGGGCCAGGACACACAACAATGCCAGACACAAATTGACCCCGGCTTAAAGAAGGACATTCTTTGGTAAAGCAGCAATCAGAATATTATTTATATTTGAATTAAAATAATTTCAGTGCATTAAACACAAATAATTTGCTGATTTTTAAGCTTGCAAGCCTGTGGCTGGTAGTATTTTTAGGATTCAAATATAGCAAATTCAAGTTCTCTTATAATGAACTTGGATTCCAGGGGATATTCATCCCTCTCTTGTGCAAGTCAGCCAGCCCTTAGGTTTTTGGGTCATTATTTCTAAAACAGTCAAAAGAGCCCCCAGTGATCATTAGTCATTCAAGGCCCACCAATAGTACTCCAAATTTCTGAGGCTAAAATCAAGAACATTTGTTTCCTTCTGGCAAAGTTGTGCATCAGGCAACTCAACTCTTCCATTGTTTCTAAAGAACATCTCCTAAAACTTGCTTTGAATTCAGTATTGCCCTATATTAACTTATTTATGTTTGCACCTATTATTTGAAATGCTTAAACATAATCAAAGGGAATTAAACTCCAGTTAGGAGAACCATGCAAATGATTACACCTAAGCCTTAATTCCTCTTCATGTGTGTTTTGTGCTATTCCTGTTTTCATACTTGCTCCTGTCACACTACTTTTTTGCATTTAGGAATGTGGGGGTTTCATGACCGGGACCTTGTCTTACGGAAAGCACTTTACACAATGATGCGAAGTGGTGCTGAAAGGGAAGCCTTGAAGAGAAGATGGAGGTGGCAGCAGACACAGCAGAATAAAGAGGTTTGTACAATATCAAGAATTTATCAGACTTAATTTTGAAGCCATACTCACTATGGCTTCCTCATAGAGTCCCTTATTAGTGCCAGGACACATGCCTGATGCTTGTGACAGAATGATGAATAAGAATGACTCTGAGCATGGACAGGGGTGCTTTCCCCACCCACTGGATATCTTCAGTTAGTCCTCTTAATCCACGGGGGGGGGGGGGGATGATTTGCAGGACAGCCCATTACCTTGCACCTTCACTTAACATTGAGACACTTAATTTATACCACTCAACTTTCAGTATCAGAAATGTACCCTCTCTGTTCTGTTCTAAATTATTTTGTATGATGTCATTGTGCTGTTTAAACAAACATTTTGGGAGGAACATTTTGTTAAACACTTGGTGCAAATAGGCATTTTTTGCACAGCAAAGTCCGCTTTGAAAACCATTGGAAGTCTGAGACACTGACAGCACAATTCTATGCATGTTTCCTAGGATATCAGTATCACTACATGTAGCAGGACTTACTCCCAGTAGTGGAGCATAGGATAGAAGCTGCCACACATGCACACACAATTTAACCTTTTTTATTCTGCCCTCCTTCCAGAAGAATATTTGTAAGAGAAACCAAATAAGATTGTTTCTATGATAACTTAATTCAAAGTGGGGTGGCTTACTTTGGTCATTAAAAGCAGCTGAATTAATGTGTATTTGGGGGGAAGGGATACTGCAAATGAGCCTTAGCAATTGTGCTCTCAGGTTCCAGAGAACTTGTGCAAACGTGAGTTCAGAGATCTCTTAACTCAAGAAATAAAGATACAAACCAAGGCACAATGTATAATTTACAGTTGTCTCCTTGTTTCTTGAACTGCCTTCTCCTCTCTCTCCTAGTCAGGGTTAGTTTACACAGAAGAAGAGTGGGAGCGGGAATGGAATGAGCTGCTCAAACTGGCTTCGAGTGAACCACGAACTCACTTCAGCAAAAATGGAGGCACTGGAGGCGGGTAAGTGGGGGTTGCCCTGTTCCTTTTCTGATTTGCTAACCTACCATAATTTGTGATATAATAGGTAGGAAAGGAAAGTTTTGTATCATCAAATCCAGCTTCCAGAAACGTATCTGGAGTTACAGGATGTGTTCCTATTGCAGGAAGTGATATGTTGTAGTTGATAAATGTCCAGTAAACTGAATACACCTAAATATTGTAGCCGTTTCTTATAAGAGTTGAAGCACCTTGCCTAAGATGAGGATACTGTTAAGAAAACAAGATGACTTAGGGACTCATAAAATCATGAACAGCATGAAGAAAATAGGTAGAAAAATATCATAATAAAACTTGCACAATATACAGCAGAGGCCCCCTTCAAGCAGCTGCTTGCTCCACGTCCCAACAGGCAGCAAAACAAACACAGCACTAACTGGAGGATTTCCATGTTTCTTTGCCTGTCCCCACCTTTTTAAAAAGTTCCACAAGCCTGCTGACAGGCAGAAAAATGTGTGGCAGGCAGTTCCTGTGCTTCTTCCACTATTTCAACACACATGTGTTTTAAAAGCCTCTCAAGAAATGCTCCACATGGCTGACAGGCAGCTAACAGGCGAATTCTGTGAATATTCACATCATTGTATTTCCATATGAGAAAATGCTTCACCTGTTGAATTTCTGCCTGCCATACAGCTGTCAAAGAATCCTGTTTTCCCCTAATGCCAGCCCTAAACCAAAGCATAGGTTGCCATGCTATACCCACTTACCAGGGATTTAGTCCCATTTAAAACAAGTATACTTAGGAGAAGACATGCAGACCACTGTACTGTAAGTCCCCACCTGCACTGCACCCCCAAATAATCGTGGGAACTGTTGTTTGTTAAGAGTGCTGAGAGTTGGTAGGAGGCTTGTGTTCTCTTTGCAGAGCTCCAGTTGCCACAGTTCCTTGGGAAGAGGCACTGGCTGCTGAAGCACCCTGGAATATTATTTGTGGTATGAGACAGTGAATTACTAATGGGCGCCTGGTCCTTAGCCCCTGCATAGCCAGAGACATGCCCAAACCTTCTCCCAAATTGTTTTTCATTTGTCCATTTTGGGGAAGAGGGATTCTTTAACACCCACCTGTACTTACTTTGTAGCAGTATTTGCAGAAAATAACTTTTAGGGACAACCTGATCTCAGATGAACTCACCACAGGAAAGATGCATTCTATTTGCTAGGAGAAAAGGAAGGGGAAACTACAGAGATTTTGAAGACTGGGAAATACAATGGAAGCAAGAAAAGCACACTAAAGAGAAGGTGGAAAGAGCAGCTGTTTAAGACACGGGGATTCCTATTTCCTGGTGTCCAAAAAAGTCACTCATCAGTGACAGCTGTGGCATCACTCATTTTAACCAATACTGACAGAAAGAAACAGCTCAGCTGGCCCATTTCACACAAATTGCTAAGAAGGGTACCTCTAAATTATGCTTCATAACTTTCTTTCTTTGAGGCCTAGAGACATATTTTTTAAACATTATGAAAACTCAGAGTCTGGAGGCCCCGCAGGGGTGTCAGTGAAGGGCATGGTGCCCATGACCACAGTGTTGGTGACCCACAGATGTAAATAATTTTAGTTCTCACTCTCTCTGTGGGGTTGTGTGTGTTAAAAAATAATAATACTGTGCTGTTTTTGCATTTACTTAAATTTCTTCAAAACTGCTTTTTTTAAAAAGTGTCTTAATCTGCACTACTTTTGTATTCAGGTCCTTATTAGCAGTTCTTGCAACCTCATTCTGTCCTTCTCAGGCGGTTTATGCCTCATGCTTTTGCACAGCTCAGTGTACTCCAATTAGAGATGTGCGGAGATGTATTTGCCAAAATAAAAGAGCTCAGTCCTTGAAGAAGTCACTTTTGACAGCTTTGCTTCTCTGGAAATCAAAACAAAAGTACCCATCCAACTAATAAATATTTTAGATGTCCAATACCACAGTTTTCAATGTGCAAATCAATCCTCCTTACGTGGAGCTGCCAGTCACCAGGGTGGGATGTTGGCTCCCCCCCCCCACTGCCAGACCTTTCTAGATCTTGATCTGCAGGGAGTATCTCTTACACAAATGTGAAAGGATGATGACTTTAGTAAATATAGCATGGAATTAAAAGACCATTCTAAAAGCAGCCCAGTGGCTTAGAGCAATTGGGGGGGGGGGAGTCCTGACCACACATTATTCTCTGAGAATAAACCTCAACTGGTGAGAGTCTCATGGACTTAAATCTCCACCCCCTTATGCAGGGGTCAGCAAACTTACTGCGCCTCAGGCCGGTGTGTCCAGCGCCGATCGCGCTGCAGGCCAGAGGGTGGGGGAGTGCGTGCCCATATGTGTGCGCACACGCTATTTCCAGCGTACTTCTGGGTCGGAGGAGCACCGGAAATAGCATGTGCATGGGCCTCCTCTGACCCGGATGTGCACCCAGAAATAACTCTTGCACATGCGCAAGTAACACATGCACACAAGCTATTTCTGGTGCTCCTCCAACCGGAAGTGGGCAGCCGCACAGCGTAGCGCCAGTAAGAGCGGGCGGCGGGGGTCACCGCGAGCCAGATAAACGAGTCCGCAGGCCTTAGTTTGGGGACCCCTGCTCTTATGCTTCTTCCATATGGTGTGGAGAATGTA